TTGGGTCACTAAATGTTTTGTGTTTTATATATTCTAGAAACATTGTTGACTGTCTGAGGATTAGCTGACAAATTTTTGTCATTCTGTAAACTACCTCTTCACTATGCTTGGTGTTCATTTTGCTGTGCAGAAGCTTATTTAATTTGTTATGATCACATTTTTTGATTCTTGATATGATTACTTGTGTACCTGTAATTCTGCTTATATAGACCTCCCCTAAAACTGTTTCTACCAGTTTTACTTATTTGTCCCTGCATCCGTGGAGTCAATCCCCCTTCATCCAGTAGATTTACTGCATTCTGTTTCCCATTATCTTAATAAGGACTGTGCCTCTTTTTCCCCAAAAGTGATTGACCTGTTGTTCCCTTTATTGTTGGGATTCTTCTGTGGTTTTGGGATCAGGGTAATACTTGATTCCAGGAATCACTTTGGGGCTCCTACTTCCCATTCAGTTTCATGAAGGAGTTTGACCTGTACTGGCATTAGATCTTCTCTAATGTTCTTGTAAAGCTTGACAGGGAATCTGTCATGACTTGGGCTTTTTGTGAAGTTTTTCCTATGAAAATTTGATAAATTCATTGACTGATATTTGATTATTCAGAATTTTAATATTTTTCAGCTTTTGGAGTTCATATATACCTAGGAATTTATACATTTCTTCCCAATTCTCAATTTTACTAAGTTTTTACAATAGTTAAAATGATCATCTCAATTTGTGCATAGTTCCCTTGATTTCAACTTTTATAATTTTAATTACTTCAATTGGGTTCTATTTTTGGGTTTGTAAAATTTGTTTATACTTTGAAAGAACCAAGTCTTCAATGTATTTGTTCTCCTCTTTGTCTCTGTAACACCTGGAGTAATCAATGCTAGACCTTGAAATCCAGACCACTTCATGCTAGGCTCTGGCTACAGAGCAGGACTTATGCACTTTCCTGCTGTGCTCAAAATCTTCGTGGCATCTTTTTCTACTGTGATCCCCTCCACAGCTGTTTCCCAAGAATATTTCTCACCCAGTCACTGTGGAATTGTAACAGTGTAAACCCTAAGGTGAGGCTCACCTATGGCTCTTCTGAGTTTCAGGTTCACTCAGCACTTTTCTGGAAAGGAACTCAAGCCAATGCACTCTCCAAGGATATGGCTGGCACCCACACAGGGCTCAGTCCCCTGTTGATTCCTTGTAAGGACTCTGCAGCAGCAGAACTCCACAACGGTCTTTGGAGACTGGAGCAACTGCCAGCCCATTGAACCACTGCTTTTTCTTCCTGAGACCTCCCAAACTCTTCAGGTTTCACTTTGCTTCTACACATTCAATCCATCTCCCAAGAACCAGCAGTCAAGGAGGAATTCTAGACTGACCCTTCCTTTCTCTGTGATGTAGATTGTGTTTTTAATATCTTTCTTGCTTTTTCAGTTTATATTAGAAGTACATAATGATCATGTTCTTCATGAGGATTTGTTCATGTACATATTACATTTACTACTTTTTGTCCCCTACCCCTCCCCATTTACAACATTCTATTTCCACTTTTCTAATTTTTCCTTTAAATCCCTTTTCATTTCCATCTCTCCCTCCTTCCACTACCCCTTGCTCCCCTCCCTAATTGAACAGGTTCTTTCTACTTCCATATAGTTATCCTTAATGTTGCTCCTTATTTAGACTTTGGGTTTCACACACAACAGAAATAATGTCATGATTGAACCTGTGTGTCTGATTTGCTTCATTTAAGATTATGTTCTTGAGGAGCATCGATTTACCTAAAAGAAGTCTCAAGTTTATCACTCATTATGCGAGAGTAGTACTCCATTATATGTAAACACCATATTTTCCTTTATCTATTGATGTGTTGATGGGCATATGGGCTGTTTATAGCAGCACAGTTTGTAATATCTAAATGTTGGAAGCAGTGTGTCTAGTTTTCAACTTTCTGTCTGTTCCTCCAGAATTCACAGGATCCACAAAGTTTTTTTCACTTTTTTCTCTCCCCCAGGTATTATATTCTAGTGTATGGATTCAGAATTTTGAGCTGAATTTCTATCAGTCACCATTCTGCTATTTTTTTAGCACTGACGATCTGAAGGTAACTTGCCAGTCATAAACCAAGAGACCTCAGAGAGCTCGGGGTCCCCTGTTACTAGTCTGGAGATCCTTGTGAGTGTGGCTCTATGTAAACTGCTAGCAATTCTCCTAAGTGCTTGCAGACGGGAAAACTCAGGGAGGTGAGCACATTGGTCCAGCAGATGACCACAAGTCAGTAGAGGCAGCTACATATGCTTAGTAAATGGAAGACCCCAGAATCTGACAGATCCATGGTATGGACCCATCCTGAGAATTGAGGGTGCCTGCAACCCAGAAACAATCAATTCTGCCTGTCCCCTAGGGCAGCACTGAGAGGCTCTAATTAGCATGCTGACTTCTATCCTGGGCTGGAAGGGAGGCATCAGGGAGATGAGGTCTAGTTTTCCAGGGGAGAGATCATCTCATGTTGGGAGGTGTGCAACTGAGGGAGGGCAGGCACTGACAGAAAGAAGATGGAGAATCTATGGAAGCATGTAGGGGTTACCTTGCTTAAGAGTTTACTGCTGAAACACAGTATCAGACACACGCAGCTTAAAGGAAGAAAAGTTGATTTTGGCTCACAATTTATAGAGGGTTCTGTTCATAGCCAGCCAGCTCCAAGGCAGTGCAGCAGAGTGGCACGGCCTGGTGGGAGGAAATGTGCCTACCACAAGTCCTCCTGGATGCAGAGAGTGCAGGGAAGAACCAGGAAGAAGCGATAACCTTCCCTGTCACACCCATAGGGACCCTCCTCTTTGGGAAAGGCTCCACCTCCTCAGTGCAAGCCAGATTTGAGCCCCCATCATCCAATCACCTTCCAGTGGACCTGCCTATCATCCCATGGAAGTTTCCAGGGAAATCTAAATTAAACCATAGGAGTAGTCCTGAGTCACCGAAGAGATGGGCATAGATGTTATCGTCAGCACTAATATCCCAATATCAAGGTGACCAGACGAGTGGCTTCTCACTTCTTTTGGGAATCCTGAAGACCTCAGGGAATTGAGAGACTGGATGTGAGATGGTATCTGCAGGTTGGCACAGGGAACCCCATCTGATAAGGAAACACACAGTTTCCATATCTGCCCAAATTCAACATGAACAGCCTAAGGGAGAATTTAGGATCTGAATTTTAGAATCTCCTGATCTGAATACGGATGGGTGGTGTTATGTTTGCTACACTGTGTCACCTTGAGGAGTCTAGTGGCTTGGCTAGGTGACTCAGCAGTTCTCATCCTGGGGTGAAAAGGACATGCCCTAACCGCTCCGGGATGTTGTTTGTTGTGTCAATGTGAGAAGTTTAGAAGGGTAACTGAGTGACTGAGTGGGAGCGCGGTCCTACTTTTGTATCATCCTGAGCCTGTGCAGGCGGAGGGCGTGGAGACTGTGTGGGTGGGGGGTAGCCTACTCGCAGTATAAGGGAGGGAAAGAGGCTTGTTCCCCCCTTTGTATTCTTGATGCTTTTGCTGTCTTGTGCCACCTTAAAGTGTTGCCGTTGTGCCAAACCACCCTGCCTTGGAGCCAGCTGATTATAGACTGAAACCTCCACACACTGTAAGTTAAATAAACCCTTCCTTCCATAATTTTGGGTGTTGGGTATTTTGTCTCAGCAAGGAGAGAAAAGTAACCAAGACAGGCGGGTGTTTCTCTGACATCAGACCTGTGCTTTCATCATCCCAGGAGTCCCATGAGCCTTTTTCAGCTGAGATTCCTCTCTTAGCAGTGCT